GTACCCCATCTCCCTCATCCTGTCACTACGGTCCCTCTCTGGCTTCCTTGTAGGTTCCTCCAGGTACTGGAAGGGGCTGTGATATCTCCATACAACCCCCTCTTCTCCAGGATGAACAGATTCAGTTTTCTAAGCCTGTCAAAAAGGAGTAGGAGCTCCTCTCTTTGGTGTAGACTTCAGGAGTTGGATTTTGTTTCCAAAAGATGTTCCCAGTGCTCCTCTTTTTTAAAAGATATCTTCAAAATCAAATGGTGGAACTAGAAAACATCTCAGAGCATGAGTCTGTTTTCTGAAACCATTTTACTACCATTCCTGTCCACTTCAGTCTATTCACAGTGTTATATCCTGATCAGGCTTTCTGCTGAAGTTCAGCTGTTAAAAACTTAAACCTCCTTCGTATTCCCCCAGGATGTTCTCTTGCGTTCTGTGTCTGGCAGAATGACTCTCCTGGTGGCCAAAACCACCATGCCCTCAGCTTGCTTACTTTGGCAAAACCCTTCTTCCCTCTGACTGGCATTCCAAAGGGCTGCTGAGAGGAATCATTTTCTGTCCTGGCAGCCCTGGGCCTTTATCACATTTTCCTCCTCCTTCCCTGGAAGCATCTGCTGCAAACCAATAAGACGAGGGCACTTGGGCTGAGAACAGAGAATATTTCAGAGGGAAGTGGTCTGTGGCAGGCTCCTTGGTCTCGTGCATTTCAGGAAGGTTCTTTGGCAAACCCACCTCGGTCTTCCTTTACCTGTCCCTGTTTCTTCCGCTCTCCTGAGGCTCCTGTCCGGCAAGGGCGTTGTTCCCTCAGCTCCAGGGTTTGGTGGCTTGATCCTGGCAAGGTTTTCCTTTTTGAAGGGACAAGTTGAGTAGCCCAGGTGTGTCACACTTTTAAACATGGATCTCTGCTAACTAACTTCTCTCCTAAAAGTTGCTCTAAGTGCAGAGTTATTCCACTTCCTCCTCCATTATGATGATCATTCTGGAAGGGGATGGAAAGCAGCAGGATCGTGTATGGTTGAATGAGAAAACTGACATAAGGCGATGTGTACGAGAGCTAATCTATAATTCATCATGATCATTCCAGGCTTTTAGAAAGCGGAGGAGAGCGAGGCCAGGGAGCCCTGAGGAAGGGTATGGAGGCCCTGCACGTGGCTGCAGCCAGCGAGGGCTGTCACTTCCGATGAGCACGGGCGGGCGGTGCCGGGCCACCAGGGAGAGCCGTGCTCCCTCTACCTGCTGATGGGGAGGGGCTGCCTTTGCAGATGACTAGAAGCAACCCTGGTGCTGACATCTCGTTATTTCCAGCTTTGTTGCTCACTTTCCGGTCGTTGCTAATGTACCGGGCCCAAATTCCTTTGTGTGTTATTGCCTCGGGGGCCTCTGGCAGCTCCTGCTTCTGGGGGAAGGATGTCCAGTAGAGCCAGTGCAAGGCTAACCACTGCCAGCCATCAGGGAGAGGAGAGCTTGGATCTCAGCCTGCCTGGTGCTGGCTTCCTTCTGCTGGCAAAGTCAGGGATGTGGCAAAGGAGGTGCTCTGGGGTTTGATCTCCTCCCGGGGGAGAGAGGGTCTGCTCTGGCACCGTTCCTCAGGTCTGTCCTTTGGCTCTGTGGGTGTGTTCTGACGGCGTCAGCCCTGCGCAGGCTCTCTGGACACATCCCTGCAAAGCAGATAAGAAAGATTGGCATCTCCACAGAAGAGAGGGCTTGCCTGGACACAGCAGGGCTCCCTGGTATTGCATAGCTTTAGCTGTTCTCTTCCCAAATGAGGTGACCGCAGCCTGCGCCACTCCGGCAAGGGCCAGCAGAGCGAGGGAAGCAGATGGCTCTCCACTCAGCACTACGCTACTCACACCTGGACTTTGTGTCCAGTTTAGGCCTCCCCCTCTATTCAATCACCCCTCCGTCCCCAGGGGTGCAGGTTGGAGCTCCCAGGCTGGTCAGGGCTGGGGGCAGAGGGCCTGGGAGGAGTCATGGGGGGCTGGGACTGCTCAGTGTGTTGAGCAGGTGGCTGGGGGTGTTTGTAGTCACAAGGTACAGCAGTGTCAAGGGCAGCAAGGAGGATGATGTGGTCAAATGCTTTGGGCAGCTGTGGCAGATGACAAAATGGGAGAATGTGGGAAGTTTGGTTTGGATGTTAGGAGGAAAGCAGCTGGTGGGGAGATGTCTCCATCCGTGGAGGGTTCAAGCATTGCCCAGACAAGACCAGGCTGCCCTGGTCTCTTAGTGGCAACAATCTTGTTGTGAGAGGGAGGTTGGATCAGAAACCTCCTGCAGCCCCTTGTACCCACACACACCTGTGGGTCTGAGCCCTGGTTCCTTTGGTGCCTGGCATGCTCTAAGAGCAGTTTTTGTTTCCCCTGGCTTGCAGTGGCCTCTGTGTTACTCAACAGCCCAGGAAAAACAGCCATGACTCTGAAAACCCATCAGTGCTCCTGTGGCTGGGATTCACGTGTCGAACTGCACCGGCCTCGTGGGCTGGACATTGTGCAGAGTACAAGCACAGCAGGGCAAAAGGATGGTTAAGGCAGGAGGTTGTCCTGCCATTAAGTTAATTTTTTGACTATATACCTGCACTTCTGGGCTTGTATCCAAGGCCTGAAGTACTTGTGCGGTTTCTTCCTGCCTCCATCAGTTTGGTTGTGTTCTCTATTCCCTCCTGAGCTGGTTATTAATTATGGAGACTGCAGAGATGAAGTCCAGACTCTGCTAATGGTTGACTTCCCAGTGTTTTAGAGGCAGCATTTCAGGGACCTGCTAATGGGATTTCTGAGCTTTGCTTTTTTAAGCCCCACTGTCATCTTGGTTTGTACCCTGAGTGAGGCAGGTCGTGGCGTTCAGGTGTTGGCTGGAGCCTGGCTCTCGGGGCAGATGACATCTGCAGCACCCAGCTCATCCCCCTGGGTTGGAATGTCCTGCTTTTCATGCTGGCAGGGAGATCAGAGCAGCCTTGCCTGGCAGGTCTCAGGCAGTGCAGTGACCCTTGCAGGGTGACACATCTCGATTTGCCCTTTAGGAGCCAGGGAACAAATCCATGCTGAGCGCTGTGCCGGGCCCCAACTATCCTCACCAAGCTACTCATCTCTTTGCTCTTAGCCACCATCTTCCCTCACAGCCTGTGTCTCAGCCCTTAAAGCTGCCTGGCCAAGCCCTGGTGCTCTCGCATCTCTCCTCTCCCAGCCTTGTTATTCCTTCTCCCCCTCTCCCAGAAGTGGCGCTGGGCTTGCTCCTCCTCCCTGCCCCATCTGGGCTGCGGGTGCTGCTGGCCTTGGCGCCGGCTCTGTCTGCCCTTTGCTCTCCCTGGCCCGGCTGGCCCATCTCCATTCCTGCAGCAGGATCCCCTGTCCCTTCTACTGCTGCCTGACCATCCACCACAACTCCTCTGAGAGATTTGGCTCTCCTTCTCCCACCTCATTCCCGTTCCGCTGCCATTCGCTTGTGTCCGTCTGATGCGGGGAATCAGTGCTGTTTTTTCTCGTAGACCCAGCCAAGCTGTTCCCTGCCTTTGCAGCTGTTTCCAGCCTGCTGCCGGTCAGCCAACCTCTGGGCAGGGATGCACAGGAAGGAGCTGCCTGCATCCCCCCCCTTCCTGAGTTGATGCTGGGAGGATGGGAAAGCAGAAACGATGAGAGTGCAAAATCTCGCTTTGGTTTTTCCAGCTCTGCTTGTTCATATTCCCCAAGGACTTATCCCTTGTATCGGATGGCAGCGCTGGCCTGGGAGTCCCTGATCCCGTTTTGCAATTCTCCCGTGTCAGCCAGCAGCTTGGGCCTTCCTGTAAGTGCCCCAGTGGCCACAGGGAAGGAATGTTCCCCCGGCCACAGGGGGAAAGGTCACAGCGGGCAAAGGGAACACCAGGCGAGCAGCGTGCCGCTCCCGCCCCTTGCTGATGAGGGCAACGCTCATCAGCACGGGGACAAAAACAGCCTGGCTTATGGGGGAAATGGGAAAAAAAAAATAGTTCAAGAGGTTAAATATTTTGGGCAAGGCCCCGCTTCCTTTCGCAGGGCAGATCTGGGAGCAGATGCAATGCCCAGGCAAAGTCCAGGATGTGTGCACGTTTCACGGCTCTCTTAGCTGGAGGATGTTTGCTGCTGAATCCGCTCCCAAAAACATCTGTGTGTCCCTTCAAGCCGTGCCTGGGACAGAGGTTTTGGCCAGTGGCCGCTGCTCGGAGCAGCTCTTGGGCTGAGCAGTGTGTTGTGGCTCCCTTCCCTTCCTCCCCCGTGCCTGCCAACAAACCTCTCCGCTGGATGCAACTCGGAAGGAAAGCTGTGAAAGCCGTGACTCGCGGTGGCGGTGGCCGCAGCAGGATTTACATCCAACATTAAGGGCTTAACTCATCCCTGCCAGCCAGGGGTTTCAAATAACTGCCGTGCCTCTTCCTTCCACCCTGGGGCTTGTAGCTTTTTTAATCCTGGCCTTTACACCCCATTTTCCAGGTTGCCTTTGCTAAGCTGGAGCTTGCTCCTGGCACTTGGTTTTTGAAGCCTGGCCTGTTGGCTGAAGCTCCTGGGGGGGCTGGTCGCATTTGTCAGGGTGGGGGCAGAGCAAAGAAAGGAGGAGGCATTTCTAGCTTGGGCTTACAAACCCGAGTTCTTCAGAATTCCCAGCGTGTTAAAAAAAATACGGAGCTAATCTGGCCCTTCGTCTCTAGGTTACGTTTGCCTCAGCCGAGGCTGAGCTCATGGAAAATTGCATCCCAGCTCCTGTGCTCCCTGCCAAGATTAGTAGGTTTAAAAACTAACCGATAACATCTTTGTAAACTTGGAGTCGTTTCTTTAAAGCCTGCTGATCCTTCCAGCCTGGGTTTTGGAGCTTTCCTAGAGATCCAAGGGAGCCAAACAGGGACGATGGCATCTGCCCTGAAAAATCAACCGGGAGCCTCACAGTGCTTTCAGCTATTCCCAAGGGAGGAAAGAGGTTGATGTTTGCCAAGGCCCTGAGGGGTGTGTTGGGATCCTTCTCCCTGTTCCTAGCCAGATACACAGCACACAGCGACGCTCTGCACGTAACTTACAATAATCACCGGTTTTATTTTTAAAAAATTACAATAGAAAAGTACCTTTAAACATATTTCCAAAAGCAGAGTAGACAATGTGGAAGCTTCTCTCCTCTCCACGAGACAAAGTACAGGAAATAGTTTGCTAAAAGAGTTAGTCCGTCGCTTGGGAACGCTGGTATCGTTCCTTTTACAGCCGCTCTGAGGTTCGTCTTGGATTTGATTTCTTCTCACATCACTTTTGTCAGGCCTGTTTTTCACAGAAGACCCCAACAGGATGGTTTCTCATGGTGAAAAGCCAACCTCATTTTTTCACCCCCCTCTCCCACCCCGACAGGCAGAATCTCAGCCATCTTATTTTGGCCCACCCACAGGACAAGAGGAAGGAGAAAGGAAAAGGTGATGATGTTTAACAAGGCCACGGGCAGCTGGGAAAAACCAGCTATGGCGAGGCCTGGGCAGCAGCTGAGCTCATTGTTCCCTGCAGCTGGAATGGAGACGGGGGAAAGGCAATGGAAGGAGAAGTTCTGCACCTCCCTTTGCAAGAAACCAAAACCTGATAGAGGTTTTGGGTCAGTTTGCTCTCTTCTTTTTCCAAATATCCTCCTGGAGCAAGGAGAAGGAGAAGTAGTATGTCAAGCAGTCTCTCTGCTGGTACTCTTATCTCTGTAAAGGATGTTGGCAGCCTCCCTTCTCATCTTTGCACATGGAAACATGGGAATGCCACGCAGGGAGCGGCTGGACCAGCGTAACATCGGCACTAAAACCACAAGCCAGACCAGACCAGCGCTTCATCATAGTGGGAAGCCCCTCAGGACTCATGTCCAACCTCGAGGAAGCTGACAAACCGAGGATTTGTTGCTATGTTTTTTCATACAGCAGTTTAGGTTGCCCGTAACAGCTTGGAGCAGTCATGGCAGGAGGGAGGAGGAGGAGGCAAATTGTCACCTTGCTACATTGTGTGGGCTGTCCGCCCATCCCTGATCCGAGCTGGTGTACCCCACGGAAGCTTTGCACAGCAGCTATGAACACAGCCCCAAGGTATAAAAAACCAAAAGAAAACAGGGGAAGAAAGTTCCTGATTGTCCTGCCTGCTCGTCATTTGGTGCAACTGGGAAGAAAACAGTAATACTGTAGTGTCTGCAGACGCCTTGCCAACACGGCCGGAGCACAATTCCTACAAACCCGCATGGCGTGCCTCGACGTCCTCACGCTTGTGAACATCATGCCTTCGACATCATGCAGCTGACGGGGCCAGGGGATAATGAGACTCTTCTTTACACACCTCCAAAGTCAAGCACAAAACCTGTGGTCCGACCCGGTGTAAGATTGTCCTCGTGAGGAGCTTTGGTACAAAAATACTTGCTCTTGTTTTGGTTTTTGGTTTGGTTTTTTTTTTTTTTTCCTTTTTCTATGGTTTTTTTTTTTTCTTTTTTGCTTTTTTGAAGTCTGCTTTCCTATGGTTCCATTTGAAAAGCTTTTTCAAACACTACAACAATGCCTGTCAAACCATGCTTTCGGGAGTAACGCACTCTTCCTTACAAATATACAGTGTAAAAGAGGAAAATATTATTACTAGGTATGTTTTTTTTTCTTTTTTTTCTTCTAGGAGAGCAGATGTGTGATAGAGGCTGTGGGAAAGTCTTGGAGGAATCCAAACTTGTGTGAGGTTTTTTTTCAAGCCTGAAACAACAAAGAGAGGTGTTAAAAAAAAAAAGAGCAGCTGTGATGGAGGAAAAAGGGCTGTGGTTTATCTCCCTTCCTTCGTGGAAGGAAGGAAGCAAGGTAGGGGAGAAGGAGGCTTGTTTTGGAAATGGGTGTCAGGACCATTCTCCAAGGACAGTTGTTTAGCAGGGAAAGGTGGGAAATGCCTGCAGGGAGCAACCGTAGCATCCCAGGCATGAAGAGCCCCACTGATTTTGTTCCTCCCATTGCCTGTGGTCCCCGGGGTTTGAACTGGGAAGCTGGGAGTTAAGTTGGAGTTGCATTTTGCGCTTAGGAGGAATTCGGTCTCTGTTGATCCAAGGCAGGAAGCAAGGACGGAGATGAGATTAGCGGGGGTAATTCAAAGCCGAGAGGCATTCCTTGGCTGTGGAAACTCTCACCCCAGATAACAGCGATAAAGGCGGGAATGGCAGAGCCGTGGTTCTGCGGGGCAGCAGCTGGAGCAGCCCCAGACTCGTGCCACCCTCAGGGCCTATTCCCTCAGGGATGTTGTGTTGGCTTCCTCGCTCCTCTGCCCCCTTCCCAAAGCAGCCGAGCCCGCAGGGTCACATCCTTACCAGCACACTGAGGTCCTGTGGAGAGCACATCAACCCAGTAGCCACCTCGGAAGACTCCATTAATACCCACAAGACTGACTGTAGGCCACCATCACACACCTGAGACCTGTGGGAGGACACAGCCGAGAGTGAGGGACGCTGGCACTGGGGACTGAGGTCAGTGTGCTGTGGGGAGGGGTGGTTTCAGGGTGACCGGAGTCGGCACTTCCTGAGGGGACAGTTTGCCGCTGAGTTCGGCCAAAGATGGGGCTTGGTGATCTCAGGTGTCTTTTCCAACCGAGCTGGTTCTGGGATTAGCCCCGTGATGGGCTCCAGACAGCAAATACAGACAGATGCAGGCAGGAGAGCCAGGCCCTCAGCCAAACCCTCAGTGGGCTGTGCCCTTCCCAGCTGGAGGAGCCCTGGAAGGGAAACAGGAGGTCCCTGACCCTCCATCCTCACCACCCACTGTGGCTCTTGGGCTGGTGGACCTGTTTCAAGGGATTCGCTCATCTCCCCTTCCCAAATACGTCTCTGCTTACGATGTTTTTTCTGGAAACATGGGCATGTTGCATATTTTGGAAGAACCATTGGTTCCCAAAGCCTGGCTACTCCCTATTTTTATCTGCCGGGCCTAAAATAGCCGGTGAATTCTTCATGGATCCAAGTCTGGGGCCGGCTGCAGCCAGGGCTGCGCCTCCTGCCCTCCCAGCTGAGTGACCTCGTGGCTGCAGCACAGGGCTGCAGATGTCAGGCAGATGGGCACAGCAGTCACATGCAAGCAGCTGATGCCAGAGCTTCAGATCCACTAGCGTTTCTCCACAGGTGGGTGTGGAAGCAGGAGGCTTCCCAGCAGGGATAGTTCCCAGCTAGGATGGTCCCAGGCAGGCTGGGATTGCAGGGCAAGCAGTGCTCTACTGTCCACCAAGGCTCTTTTCCCTCTTCCATTTGAGTCCCCTTTGTTTGTTTATCCACAAAGGCCAAAGTTATTTGCAGAGTGTATCTTGCAAGGCTTTTTCCATCCGAAGAGGTCCCAGATGGAATGGGATCTGTCCCTCCCTCCTGCCGGGCAGCCGGGTGCTCAGTGAGGCTGTGCTTCTTGTTTTAGCAGCCCCACCACCCCGGGCTGCCCGGATAGTTTTCTTGGAGGTTTAATGAGTTATTGTGTCAGGGCTGCCTTTTCCATCACAACACCCCCCCTCTGGCATGGTGCCTTTCCATCCTGCCCTGGGACACGTGGGAAAGTGTTGGGGTGAATCGTGGCACAGACGTCCCCTTCTGGGGACAAGGAGGGCAGCTGGGCTCAGGGTGACTGCTGAAAAGTGGCCACCCACCCTGAGCTGCTGGAGACCCCGGGAGTGACAGCGGGGGCAGCTCAGGGTGAAGGCGGAGCTGGTCCCCAGGTGGCACAGAAGGATGGGAGCGGGACAGTGACACTCACCCGGCATTCAGCAGAACTGACGGGACTTCCAGCCCTGAGAACCAGCCTCGGAGGGAGGGAGCCAGCGCATCTGCGAAGACAAGGGGGACACAGGTGAGAGGGAGGTGGCTGCCCACCCTGGCAAGATCAGGCTGTGTCTGGGCTCCCTTCTCCTGGCTTTTCCCAGGCACAGGGTGGAGGGAGGTTGGAGCGCCAGGAGCACAGCCATCCCATCTCCAATTCCAAACAGTAACACCGAGGCTGAGCACAGCCCCTGGCGCCCCTGCTTCCAGCAGGATGGAGCTGGGACAGCAGCATCATGGTCCCACTGAGCAGGAGTGAGCTCATCCTTCTTAACTCCTGCAAAGCCCGCTTGAAACAGGGCGGAAAACATCACATGCCAAAATTTGGCGTGCAAGCGCTCAGTGCTCTGCCAGATAACTCCAAGCCAGCCCCACCATCCATCCTGCAGTTCCTGGTCTCTCTGCTGTCTGCAGGATCCAGCGAAGCAGCTCCAGACTGGATGGTGGCACCAGTCTCCCAACACCCCACCCCCGGCAAACCCCCAACACCGGCAGCTGCACAGGAGGATGGGAAGGTGCCACCAGCACCCTCCCCACCGCGCTGATATTTCACATCGGATAATATTGCTTCTGTCTAACATCAGGTCTCGGGCTGGGTTTTCCCAAGGGACCCTCAGAGCTTCCGTACACCTCTGTTTCCTTGGCCGTGCGCTTCCCTGAGCAGGGCAGGTGCTGCCTGTTAGCAGTTATTTGACAAGGCAAGTACGTAGCTGCAATAATATTTACCAACGCTCTTCCTATGAACAGCAGGGCCCAAAAAGCCGGAGTTTCATCCAAAGGCTGCACATGGCTTGCACACTGAGCACTTCTCCTCACCCTCCTGCTCAAACCAGCCCCTGGCTGCTCCAGCTCCCAGTGATGGTGGCTCTGGATAACCTGGCTCAATCCTGATGGGCCAAGGCCAAAAGCCTTTCGGATGCAGTTTGTCTGGCAAATCTATTTCCACGTGCTTGTTTAACTCCTGTTCATCACTGAGGCGGAGCAGGCAGCAAGGAGCAAAAGCCAGCATGATGTCCAGCACGGATGCTGAGGGGGTAGCTGCCCTTTCTCCCCTTGTGGCAGGCGTCCTTTCCCAGCATCCCCATGATGCTGCAAGGCTGGCACTGCAAAGAAATCCTCTTCCTCCGCCATTTCCACTTCTCCTCTTTCCCCCGCTCCTCTCCCAGGCGGATGGTTAATTTTTAACAGCCACATGCTGCCATCGGGGGCCACCGGCAGCGGCAGCCAGCAGGAAGCGCTTGTGAGGAGGCAGCGCCTCGTCAATAAAAGATGGATCCTCCATTTGCGCTTCACTTCCCTCTCCTCCCCAGTGAGAGCTGCTTGGCTTCACACCCCATGAACAGCGCGCAGCGATGCTCCAGGGGCAGCCAGGGGTTCTGGAGCCCTCGTCCCACACTGGCCAGCCGGATGGGTGGTTCGGTGCCAGGAGCGACGGCGATGCTCCAGACCCTGAGAGCATCCCCAGCCTTCCCTCCTCCCTCACCACCTGCCCCACCACAGGTACCAGCGAAAGCAGGAAGGCAGAGAGAGGTGTCTGGGGAAAGACAGGACCCCTGCCAGCATTCAGCTCCATTTGGGAGCCTTCCCTAAATCTCAGGGGGGAGTGGGGAGCGAGTGCCTGTCAGCCGGGCAGAGTTAGTGGTGCGGTGAGCACCGAGGGGAAGGGGCTCCGGGGCAGGCGGGAGGGTGAGCGGTGGAGGCGGATGGGTCGAAATTACCTGGGCGTGCAGCGAAGCGGGATAGGTGAAAGCAGGAGGAGGTAGAGCAGGTGCTAATTCCGCTGGGTACAGAGGGTACGGCCCCCACACTTCAGGGCTACTGGGGTAAAGTGCAGGCACTGTGAGCTCATCTGCAAGAGAAGAAGAGGGAGAGTTAACGGTGACCACAGGGCTGCAACCCTCGCTGCGTCCTTCCTTCTCCCCTTGAGGCAGGAGCAGAGCTGGCCCCGGGAAAGTGCGAGATGCCACGGCTGAGAGAGTATTCACCCATTGGGATAACACAGGGTGAGCAATGGTACAGGGCTGGGGGCATCATTCAGGGAGCCAGGGCTGGGCTCGTTGTCTCTAAGAGGTTTAGTAATCCCAGGGATTCAGGAGAGGAGAGAGTGCAGCTCATGCCTGCGTGCAACAGCAAGGTGAGGAGCTGGAGTCTGCATGAGAGAAGCTCCTCTGGAAGCGGAAACAGGCATGGAGCGCTCACAAGACATCGCCAAGGTCTCTCCTGAGACCTCATCCTGCTCCCAGGCACCATGCCAGGCTGGCTGTCACCTGTCCCAGGTCCTCTCCAGCACCAGCAGTTCCTTCAGGAACCCCCAGGACGTGCCACCACGCAGCAAGCAGGTGCCAATGCTTCCAGTCAGACCCGCTGTTCCCCTTCACCCGCAGCTCACGATATCCCTGCTCCCCAGAGAACCTCCCAGCCCAAAAAGAGCCCTGCTGGCAGTGCAGGGGTACTCACAGGGCTCCCGGGTGATGAACTGAGGTACGGCAGTGGGGAGAGGGGTGCTGGGATTCGGGGTGCCCACCAACTTGTTCTTGGCCATCTTGGTGTTGGCCTTGGCAAACTCCAGCCGCAGCGTCTGGGGGATCTCGGGGTCAAAGCGGATGCCCTGTGGGAAGGAAGGAGGGAAGGAGGCGTGGCGGGTGGGCGAGCACCACCGCGTGCCGGCCCCGCAGCAAAAATAGCTCCCCGTTATTTATGGGTTTTTTCAACTTCCAGCCCCGAAATGAGCTAATTTGCCGGGCCCCGAGGCGGCTCGCATTCCTCCGGCATCTTTAGCATCGGCACCATATTTGGCAGTCGGCATCCTGCAAGGCCGAGCTCTTATCCAGAGGGATTAGTGGAGCCAAAAAAAAAAAGGTTTTACATTGGAAATGAAGACAAGGGCAAAAAAAACAACCCCAAACAAAACAAAAACACAGGGAGAACTGGTGAGGAATTGGAGAACCGGCTCCACGCAGTTCTGCCTGTGACTATTTTCAGGTAACTTCACAAGCTGCTGAAAGAAAGTGAAATTTGCTTTTTTCTTTTGCAGACTTAGCTGGGATTTTTCCTGCTGATTAAACAGGAGAGGCTGGGAATGCTGTTTCTCACTTTTATCTAAGGCTTGAGTCAAGACCTTCTGGATGGCTCTGAGAAAGGTGAGAGGGATGCAGCCCCCCAGGAAGGAGGATGCAGCTGAGAAACAAAAATGGGATTGTCTGGAGGGATGGGGATGCCATGGGGCAGGCTGGCATGGGAGGTGCACATCCTTGGGATGGAGGAATTCAGAGAGTATCTGGGGACAGGGAAACAAGGGGAAGATGAGGAAATGGAGTGGCTGGGCCAGGCACACTCACGTTCAGCGCGTTCTTCGCCGCCTCCGCCTCGGAGCGGCTGTCGAAGCTGACAAAGCCCACGGGCTGTGGAGGAAGGACAGGAGTCATCAGTGAGGCTCGTGGGGAGCAGAGAGGGTAGCCCCTCACCCCAGGGAATGGTGGGATGGCTGCACCATTTGGAGCATCTCCTACCTGCTTGGAGGTGAGTTTGATGAGAGACCCTTCGTACCCCTGCAAGGAAAGGATTAAAAAGGCTGTTTGGTGGAGATCCCCACAATTAAATAGCTGAATAAACTGACTGAATTGGACTTCAGTGGGTTCCCAGATCCCAGCAAGTGGTTTGGGACCATGGGACTGGGGCAGAGGCCAGCCCCATGCTTTCAGCCCCCCTTTCCCTGCCCAGTTGGATACCTTAAAGGGTCTGAAGAGCAGGTAAAGTTCCCGAGGCTTGATATCCAGAGGCAACCCACTGACAAAGAGTGTCCTCACCTGGAAAAGAATAAAGGAGGTTCCTGGGGACCCTCTCTCACCCCTAACTTGGGGATACACCCCGCTTCCCGCCGCCAGAGGGACAATACCAGCCCAAGAGGAACCTCCTGGGCAGACAAAAGCCTTAAGTCACACCTGAGTGATGCTGAATTTTTGGGAGGGGTGTCCCCATATCCTCCATGTGGCCATGGAGGAAGCTGCTAAGGCACCATGGAAAGGTAACAGGGACCTGTCCTAACCCTAGCAGTCCTCTCCAGGATAAAAAAGCTCACAGAATCCCAGCACCTTCCTACCCCGGTCTGGCAAACAGGATTTCTCCGTCATCTGGGATCCCGGACTCCACAGACAATGCCTATTGTCTCAGTTTAATTGCAGCAGCTCATTAAGGACTGGGAGAAACAAACACCAACTCTTCCTCCTGGAGGAAAGGCCCTGCTTTAGAGGGGGCTGGATTTAATCAGCTTGTCCCTGGTTTGTGAAAGTCACCTTTTAAGGGGATTTAACCCTTTTTGGGTGGATCTAATGTTTGCCCATGGTGCAGCATCCTCAAAGCTGGGATGTTTGGCAGAAATCCTGCTCCCACCACCCTGAAGGAGGATGTGGGGCTCCTCAGGGATGGGCAAACCCTGTGCTGGGATGGTTTTACTTTACAATCAGCTTGTAACCGGGAGAGCAGTGCGGGGAACTGAACGTGCTGATCCTCTTCCTCATCCCCAAAATCTCATCCTAACACTTTGGGCTGGAGAAGGGGGAAACCTCGATGTATGTTATTTAATTCTTTTGGCCAGGCACCCTGCCTGCCCCATTCCCTGGGAAAGAGACATGGGAAACAGCCCGCCCAGGCCTATTCTTTTGCTGACATTTCTTCTTTCTCTTGCAGATAAGCTATCTCCCCCATCTCCCAGCCTGGGAGCAGCAAACATTCCTGCTTTGTGGAAGAAAACCCCTGGCTGACCTATATCTATTAAATAACAAAAGGTACTCAGCTGTTTGCATACAGCCCTTGTGTCAACAGCCCCAGTGATACCCATCTTGGGTACCAGAGTTATCATCACCATCACCACCCCTGCGGGGTCCAGCATCCAGGCTGGATGAGATAGCAAAGAAGGGATGTCCTCACCCTGTCCTGAGCCCGGGCTGCAGGCAGGCACAGCTTGCTAGCCTGTCCCCTCTACTGGGACCATCCCCCAGAGCACCTTGGGGGACCCCTGCCAGCTTCTGTCTCCTGAGACCCGTGAGTGATGGAACATCCCACAGTGTTGTGTTCTGCCCCTTTCCCCAGTGGAGACACTGCCCAAACTTCTTCTGGCAGGGGCTAGGGAGGGATTCACCTGGAGAATGTCCCCTTGTGTCCGTGAAATTCAACCTAAAGAAAGCAAACTTTTCCTTTCCTAGGGTAAAAAATATTTGCTTTCAGACAGATCCTCCTGAGCTGTCCAGGGAATCGGCTCTCCAGACACATCCACCCTCCCAGGTGGGGTTACATCCCAAGTAGGCCGAGCATCCCTGCACAGTGTCCCCTCTCTCCCTCACCCCTGGAGCCATGCCTGGCTTTCTGCCTCTGGAGAGCTTCAGGAAACATTAGGGAACTTGGCCACAGCTCCGCTGGGAGGGACTGGTGGGAGCGGGGGAACCCGCTGCCAGTTTGCCGCATCCCTGAAATCCAAACCGTACGTGCCCAAGCCTGCCAGGCCATTTATCCCCCAAGCCACATGGGAGAGAGACAGAGATGAAAGATTCCCAAGGAACCCTCCGAAATTCAGCCCCAGAGAGGAAGGGCTTCTCTTCTCTAATGACTTTGTTTTCTTTGCAAGTTCAAACGTGGGTCGGCCAAGTTTGAATCTGTAAAATTATACAGCGGCAAGAGGGAGAAGGGCTCCAAAGGATCCCCCAGCTGGATTCCAGCCCCAAAAGGGTTTTTGGGACTCAGGGCAGGGGATGGAGGTGAGCTCCTGGGTGCTCCCCATGTGCACCCCACAAATGTACCCAGCCCCAGGGATGTTTGAGTGGGTGCTATATAAACAGCGTTCTTTCACTGGGTAACGAGCAGGTGGGACTGGCAGAGCAAGGGAGCATCCTAGGGGATAATCCCAGCAGGCTAAAAGATATCCTTTTGCCAAGGGAAAGATTCCTGACAGAAGTATTACTCCTGCCCTTAAATGGACAGAGAGCTTTGGCCCACAGGGAGCTCCTCCAGGTTTTTTTTTTTTTTGTGCTGAGAGATCCCAAGGATTCATTCCCCATCCTCTACTAGAAACACTCCTGGGGGAAAATCTTTTCCTGAAGCAGGGAAAAAAAAAAATAAAAGCCTAATCAGAGAAATTGCCAGGCAGCAGGCACGTATATGACCTTCCCTAGGGAAGAAATACTCCTCCTGGGAGGTGGATCAGGCACAGGGCCTGCTCCCAGGGATGTCATGGGACAGGGCCAGACAGACAGCTCTCAAGGAAGGATTAAAGGGTGCTGGAGCATGGGATTCCCCCAGCCTAAACCCCACAGGTTTTTTTGGACAGCCTGAGCTGTTTCATTTCACTTCTGCTGTACGAACATCTTTCAGTTTCTTTTTGGTGGAACATTCCTCGGTCTCTCCTTCTTCCTAAAATCTGGGGTGAAACCAAAGATTTTTTTTTCAAGTCACAAGTGCCAATGTTTGCTCCAGGAGGAGCTCAAAGGTGACCATCTTGACTTCCTTCCATAGGGATGGCAGCTATGGGACCTCTCCAAGTCCCTTTCCACAGTTGTCCTCTGCTCATGCTGCTGCACCCCACAGCTCCCAGGTTTGCCAGGGCTGCTGGATCCTACCTGTGTTGCCTCACTCCTGGTATGTCCTCTCCTGGCTTTTGTTTTCCCTGCAGGAAGTCTGCTCATCATCTCTGCTACTCTCCTCTTCCTTGGAAACCATCTCCATCCCACTTCTGGCCTGTCCCTCTCACCTTTGCATCCCACCATCACATTCTCTTGTCCCTGAAATCCCGGGTCTCGTCTTGGGCCAATTTGAGGGATGCTGGAAAGGGTCTGTGGAGTTTTGCTGGGATGGTCAGGGCCGAAGACACGCAAGGAGAGGCAAAGATCTGGGCCAGGAAGTGACTGGGGTCCCCAGAGCATGGATCAAGGATCACCCCAGCACGGTGAGGTCCTTGCTGGAGCACCAGCAGCCTCCTCCTCTCCTTGCTCACATGAAGCCACGGGCCAGGTTCGTCTCCTGAAGGTGAGGAGGCACCAGGGAGGCATTTCCTTGGCTTGGACCCCCATCAGATGGTGATGCCTGGAGGGATGCCAGGTACCCCAGCAGTGCCCTGCTGGCATGGTCCTGGTCTCGGAGCCGTCCCCGGTGCCCTGCCCTGCCCAAACCACTCCCGGTAAATGTTAACAGGCCGTGGGGCGGCGGGAGGCGTCCGGGTGATTCATCCACGAGGCATTTAATCGCCTCCTTCAGCCCAGCTCCCATCCCTCTCGTCCGTCCGTGCGCCCCTTCCAGCGGGGCTCGCTTTAATTCTCCACCAGCCGATTATCCGCTTGACTGCCCGCCGCAGGGGGAGGCACCGGGAGCGGGAGGGCGATGGCACGGGGCTCTGCCATCGAGCCGTGCAACAGGGCGAGCAGGGCTTCCCCTCCCATTCCCGGCAAAGCGGGGTGCATTCCCGCCCCGCAGGGATTAATCCTGCCATAAATAAAGTCTCTTGGCTAATGGAGCGTCTTCCTCGGCTGGGTTTGGATTCCCGGGCTGTGTGTACGCATGCCTTCAGCCCGCAAAACTCCCCGACATAAACAAGGCTGAGGCCGGGGGATGCCGGCTTCTCCGCCCGGGGGATGCGGGAGGAGCGGGAGAAATCTCCCGTAGCTCCCACCCGTAGCCGCTTCTCCGGAAAATCCCGCTTCTCTCGCGTCCGGTGAAGGACAGGAGGAGAGGAATAGCCCTTGGGGAAAAGCGAGTCCAGAGCTGCCGGGGCTGGAACGAGGAAGCGGCAGAGGAGAAGGCAGCGAGCAAGCCAAGGGAGCAGATGGGGGATTGCAACAGAGCGGAGGAGCGGCGGGATCAGGCGCGGGTCACACACGTCCCTGTCCCGCCTGGAGCTTGCTCCCAAACCCTCCGCACCCCACGCTTCGAGGAGGAAAGGAAGCGGGAACACGACGGGGGGGATGCATCACTGGGGCCACGGAGGCAAATTTTATCCCCTCGCTGGGCACACTGTGCCTAGAAACCATCCGTGGGGTCCCCTCCCCACGGCGCGGCTCCCCCGGGATGAGGGATCTGGCATGGGATGGGGACCAGAGCCACGAGCCGGGCTCTCCGCAGCCGCTCCGCTACCAAATAAGGCCTCCGCCGAGCTTTTTACATGCCGTTCTCGCCCGGCCGAAGTGACGTGACCGCCTTCCCAAATTGCTCTGGCTCCTCCGTGGGGAAGCCCCTGGCCCACAGCTGCCCTGCACGGGGGGGTTCTTCCCGGGGGAGCAGCCGGGAGGGAGCGGGAGGCCATCCCGGGCAGGAGGAGCGGGGATGGAGTGGGGGCTTTTCCCACCCGGCAGCGCCCTGGCTGAGCTCCCCGGGATGGGGGCTGCCTCTCCCCCTTTTCGGAGGGAGCAGGAGGCTGGAAGGCAAGCCTTGGGAGGGAGGAGGTGAGGCACAGTAGCTGAGCAATCCTTGAGCAAATAGACAGCACCGGCTCCTCCACAGCCTGGGCTGGATAAAGTCCTGCAGGGAAAATCCCTGCCTGGCCACGGGAGGAGCGAGGCTTGCGGGCCGGGAGTGGGCATCGCCCTCCTCGCGTGTCCGCGGCCCTCTGGGTGTCCCTGGCACCTCCCAGCCCTCCCCTCCGGGGGTTCCCCATGTCCAGCATCCCCAAGGATCATCCAGCCCCGGGCCCTGCGGATCCGACCGGGAGCAGAGCGAGGGTTGCCTTTTGCCAGCAAGGTCCAGGCCATGCTTTTGGGAAAAGCAAGAGGGCTCCACGGCTGTCACCCGGGGCCGTGCCCAACGGAGCCGCAGCATCATCTCCCACACACCCCGCAAGGCCGCCAGCGGGGAAAGCTCCCCGTTATTTAGGAAACTTTGGGAAGTTTGGAGCCGGAACCACCTCTGGAATACGCAAATGAAGGCGGGCGACAGCGGGCGATGGAGCTGCGGTGAT